TGCTTCACAGCAGCAGGAAAGTATAGCTTAAGAGGCAGAAAAGGCATTTCTCCTCATTCCCACTCCCCTTCAGTTAGAATCCTAGTGACCTGCCACTGCCCAGATCCAATTTTGTCATTGAAGCAAATGAGCAGCCACACACTAAATTGCATGCACTTCAAAGAGAAGGGATTTACGGAACTCCTTAATTACAAACTTTACTCAAATTAAAAATCTTTTCAGAGTTTTAAACTCAGATTAAAAGTATAATAAGTGAAGGAATTGTATGCTGTATTCCTGATTGCTAACCAAACTGTTATTTCTTATAGGCAAGGGCAGGAGAAAAAAACATTCTAGTTACATGGATTTATACAGAAAAGCAGCAATTGACATTTAAATAAGAAAAGTTTAATGTCAATGTATTGTATTGCCAACCCAGGAAAACTGCTCGGCTTCCACTACTCCTCAGCTGTGGAATGAGCTGTGCCCATGAGAGAACGTGAAAAATGAATGTTGTAAAATGGATTGGCCTTCTTACCACCCAAATCGATTACCTCGGTACATATATTATCACCTGGCTCACCCAGGCTGTGAGCACTGCTTGCTAGATACACTCCACCCTTGAGAAGGATGGACTTACGACCAGCCATGACTGCCTCAGTGACAGCTACTTCAGCTCACATTCAAAGTCCGGCTAGGGCCTGTTGCCTTGCTGTGTTTGGAAACAAGTCCAGCAGGGGGCAGGGGTGACTCATGATTCCAATCAACCACTAAGGAAATGGGAGTTAATTTCTTGAGATAAGGTTTTGAATTGTGTGATGAACGCCCTCCAACCCGAGTGGCCCTGAGAAATTGGGGGTGGGGGTGGGGTTGCCCTGCACCCTCTCCATTGTTTCTTCGGGCTTTTCCGTCCTAGTGCGAAAGGATCTCCTGGTTGGCAGTTACACTAAACACCAACAGTCACAGCAAGACTGCCTCCCTTCCCTTCGCCTGCATTTCAGCAGGGGACAAAGCCTTCACCCGGAGAAAGGAAACTTCCACAGGGAATTCAAGGCAATGGCAACAAGATGCGGAAGGGGATATTTCGTGACACAGGGAACTGTCATAGCTCCTTTTCACATTTGCCTGTGGCAACCCCTCAGATAATGTACCTCCTAAAGATTGTACATTCAATGGGCATTTTGTTGTTGTTTTAAACATTCACTGTGTCATTAGTCTGAATCAAGTTTTTCTGAAACTTTAATTTTGTTAAGTTGTTTTAGAAGAATCAACTCATTCTTCCCAGAACCCTTCTTTTGTGCAATATCACTGTTTAACCCAAGCGCTGTCGTTTTAAAAATTCTGCACAGAAATTATTTCGTTTGGAAGATTCCTTTCTTTTCTACAATACTCAGTTCTATTCATTGATATTATTATCAAAAATTAACAACATCGCCCTTCAAAACAGAGAAATCACAACTCACTGCCAGCAAGTCTATTGTGACTCACAACGACCCTGTAGGACAGGGTCCCCCTGTGGATTTCTGAGACTAAGTGTTGACAGGAATAGAGAGCCTCGTCTTTCTCCTGAAGAGCGGCTGGTGATTTCCAACTGCTGACCTTGCGGTTAACAACCCATGGTAACCACTAAGACTCATTAACTAAAGGGAAAGGCCACACGCACCCCACCCCACCCCACAGCTGTGCGGTGATATGGACTCATCGTGACCCTGTAGGACAGAGTACAGGGCCTCGGGTTTTCTGAGGCCGTAAATCCTTAGAGAGCAGACAGGCTGCGCGTGCTTGGACAGGGCCAGAGCAGCAGTGGGGTTTGAACCGCCAACCTTGTTGCGAGCAGCCCAACACTTAACACACTGCGCACCAGGGCTCCTCGGCAGAAGCTACGGTGGCCCCCGTTCACATTTCGGGAACTCCTGAAATCACCAGCTCCTCCGGTGTTCCCCCGGCGAACCTTATTCCTGTGGCCTGCTGGTGAGGGCACCCCATTCCAGCCAAATCAGGGAGGCCCCAGGGAGCGAGAAGGCCGGGAGCCACCTGGTCCCCCCTCCTGGCTGGTTCGGTTCTGTGCGTACAGGGGCTGGGGAGGCACAGGCGCGGCTCTGCGTGCCCACGGCACCAGGTAGGGGTCCAGGGGGGCAACCATGGGCCAGGCTATCTCACCTCCTAAAGCTATTCCCTTAGCTGAAAGACTAATCTCACGTCTTGG